GTGAGCCGAGATGGCGCCGTTGCACTCCATCCTGGGCAATAAGAGCGAAACTCCATTTCAAAAAAAAAGCTATTTTTCATTGTCATTAAGAATACCCATATATATCTATTTGTACAGACACAAACTGAGATAGAAGTTTTATGAAACAATATTTATTCTTGCCATAAGCAGTGCATTCTGCTATTTTGTTTTACAATCTATTTCATTTTTAAAGGGGTTAGTACTTTGACATATGAATTTGGGGTGGGGGAACACAAATATGGTCCATAAGAGTGAGGGGTCGTGGTCCATAAGAGTGAGGGGTCTGACAATTATGTATGTAAAAATCCTAAGTGTGATACAAATGTTTGCGTGTGTCTGTGTGTGTGTGTGTGTGTTCCCAAGGCCCTGGGACGAACTCATTGTGTGTTTCTAGATGCTGTTGACCTACAGCTTTGAAGCAGGCCCGTGTCTACCCTCCTGGGTCGGAGGCTTTAAAATGCTCCCAGGTGTCTTTGCCATCAGGGCACAATTCTGCCCCCACCCCATGCAGCGCCTGGCAGGTTGTCATACAAACCAAGGACTGGCCTGCTGCTTATACTTTAATAAATATTCAATCAAAAGACAAATAATGTTTTTCAGTTCTGAGCAAGGCTTTGTCGTGACAAATGACTACCCCTCAATTTGTTTGGGGAGCACTGAAAAACCAAGAGTTAAGAAGAGAAATGGGACAAACCAGAGAAATGTTTTGGAAAGACGTTTGAGAGAACAGGAATCTCCAGGTAAGCCAATCCTGGGGGCAGAAAATATTTCTTCACTAGAGGAACATAGGAGAGTAAGAATTATTTTCAAATCCCAAATCCTGGATTTTCTCATTGCTCTCAGCCTGATTTGTGTAATTGCATACATTTGCATATCATTTACATTTGCATATTGTTTTCGATGGACTCGAATCCCTGACAACTGTAATTATGAAAAATACAGACTGAGTCTGTTTTGGTTTGCTTTGTTTTGTTTTTGAGAGAGAGGGAGTGTGTTACTCTTTTGTCCTATTTGATTACCATTGTATCAAATTTTGCTGGAAATAAATAAGTCAGTAGATGTGACTGGAAAATATTTCCTTTTTGTTTTCTTTTGGAGATTTGGCTACTAAGTTTATGAAATTTCTTGGTATTAAAACAAAATGAAATGAAGGCCATTCAAATCCACTATTGAAGGACAAACTGAAGACAGGGACATGGAGTAAGAAAAAATCGCAGCTCCCCGTCCCTGCAGCTGGGGCTTCCTAGCTGCTTTGCCGTCAGCTCCATTCATATCATACTTTCCATCGGAGAGACTTGAGGCCAGCTTAGAGCATCAGACCCTGGTCTAGAAACTAGCATTTTGAATGGGAGAAGTGAAGCACAGTGTTTGAATTGGCACTTACTGGACACACTGAAGAAGATGAGGATGAACTGCCTCAGAGACAGTGATGTTTAAAACTCTTGAAAACCTAGGCAATACCATTCAGGACATAGGCATGGGCAAAGACTTCATGACTAAAACACCAGAAGCAATGGTAACAAAAGCCAAAATTGACACATGGGATCTAATTAAACTAAAGAACTTCTGCACAGCAAAATAAATGATTATCAGAGTGAATAGGCAACCCACAGAATGGGAGGAAACTTTTGCAATCTATCCATCTGACAAAGGGCTAATATCCAAAATCTATAGGGAACTTTAACAAATTTACAAGAAAAAAACAACCCCATCAAAAAGTGGGCAAAGGATATGAACAGACACTTATCAAAAGAAGACATTTATGTGCCCAACAAACATGAAAAGAAGCTCATCATCACTGGTCATTAGAGAAACGCAAATCAAAATCACAATGAGATATCATCTCACAATGAGATACCATTCTAACTAATGATAGCCAGTTAGAATGGTGATCATTAAAAAGTCTGGAAACAACAGATGCTGGAGAGGATGTGGAGAAATAGGAATGCTTTTATACTGTTAGTGGGAGTGTAAGTTAGTTCAACCATTGTGGAAGACAGTGTGGTGATTCCTCAAGGATCTAGAACCAGAAATACCATTTGACTCAGGAATCTCATTACTGGGTATATACCCAAAGGATTATAAATTATTCTACTATAAAGACACATGCACACGTATGTTTACTGCAGCACTATTCACAATAGCAAAGACTTGGAACCAACCCAAATGCCCATCGATGATAGACTGGATAAAGAAAATGTGGCCAGCTGGGTGCAATGGCTCACGCCTGTAATCCCAGCACTTTGGAAGGCCGAGGTGGGCGGATCACCTGAGGTTGGGAGCTCGAGACCCTCCTGACCAACATGGAGAAACCTTGTCTCTACTAAAAACACAAAATTAGCTGGGCCTGGTGGTACATGCCTGTAATCCCAGCTACTCGGGAGCCTGAGGCAGGAGAATCGCTTGAACCTGGGAAGCAGAGGTTGCGGTGAGCCGAGATTGTGCCATTGCACTCCAGCCTGTGTGACAAGAGCAAAACTCCATCTCAAAAAAAAAAAAAAAAAGTGGCACATATACACCATGGAATACTATGCAGCCATAAAAAAGGATGAGTTCATGTCCTTTGCAGGGACATGGATGAAGCTGGAAACCATTCTCAGCACACTAACACAGGAACAGAGAACCAAACACTGCATGTTCTCTCTCATAAGCGGGAGTTGAACAATGAGAACATATGGACACAGGGAGGGAAATGTCACACAATGGGGCCTGTCGGGGGTAGGGGGCTAGGAGAGGGGTAGCATTAGGAGAAATACCTAATGTAGATGACAGGTTGATGGGTGCAGTGAACCACAAATCTGCATATTTGGCACATGGATCCCATAACTTAAAGTGTGTGTGTGTGTGTGTGTGTGTGTGTGTGTGTGTGTATATATCTCCCAAAAAACTCTTCAGTGGTTCCCCACTGTCTTCAGGATCAAGTTCAAAGCCCTAAGCTCATTTCGGGGCCTAAACCCCTAAATCCTTCATGACCCTGTCTGATGAGGTTTCTGGCTTCCTCTCCATCTTCTTGCTGTTTCTTCGCTCTCCCTACTCTTGTCTGCATCTATGTGTTCTCCACAGAGCAACCAAAGTGGTCTTTTAAAGCCACTAAGACCCTCTGAAGAATTTGCATTATTTTGAGAATGCAATCCAGACTCTTTAGCATGCCCTGCAAGTCCCCATGTGTCCAGGCCTCTGCCTACCTTGCCAGCCCATTTCCTATTGTCTCCCCCTTTCACTGCATTTCAGCCACATTGCCTTCCTTTCTGTTCCTTGAACACATAAACTCTTTACCAGTTGGTGGCTTTTGCAACTGCTGTTCCCCCAGCCGGGAACACTTTTCCAAGTGTTCCCTTCTCATCTTCAGAGCCTTTGCCAGGTCACTGACCAGCCAGCCTCTTGCTCTCTATCACATCACTGCTTTATATTCCATTCTCTGAATTGATCATGTTGACTCGTGACCCCTAGAATCTGAGCACCATCAGAGCAGGGACTATGTCTGTCTTGTCCACCGGCATATTCCCAGTGTCTAGGTTGGTGGGCCTGACACAAAACGAGTTTCAATAAAAAGTAGTGAGTCAGTGAATGAACGTGCGAGAGCCAGTGGTTCTCAAACTTGAATGTGCTACTTTGGGAGGCTGAAGTGGGAGGACCACTTGAGGCCCAGAGTTTGAGGTCAGCCTGGGCAACATAGTGAGACCCCCGGTCTAAAAAATAAAAAAGTAGTTAGCTGGGCATGGTGGTATGCACCTGTAGTCTCAGCTACTTGGGAAGCTGAGGTGGGAGGATCACTTAAGCCTCAGAGTTGGAGGCTGTGAGTGAGCTGTGATTGTATCACTACCCTCCAGCTGGGCAATAGAGTGAGACCCTGTCTTTAAAAAAATTACTAATTAAAAAAACCCTTGACTCTGCATCAGAATCACTAGGAGACTTGTTAAAACAAGTTGCTTGCCCTACCTCTAGAGTTCTGATTTGGTAGGACTGGGGCAGGGCTTGAGAATTTGCATTTCTCCCAAGTTCCCAGGTGATGGTGAACCTGCTGGTTGTGGGACCACAGTTTGAGAAATGCTGGTACCATCCATAGCTGAGTGCTTCTGAGCTCACATATGTTTAATATTTCATGCCTTTGTTCCCTTTCTTTTTTCCTCGAACATGGTTTCCTCATTCCCTAGGCAAGCCTCCCACCTGCTTTAAGATGTGGATGGGCATCATTTCCTTCAGAAGGCCTTCTCTGATCCTTGGTGCCCAAATCTCTGCCCCTTAGAACCTGATGTAAAGGGAGCCCTAACCTTTCCATGCTGCGTTGGGTTAACTCTGCACATTAACTGGATTTCCAGACCACAAGTCCTCCAGAGCCTGCATTAGTCATGTCTGTATGCCAGCTGGAAGCTCAAAAATATTACCTCTGAACTTGAAGAGGACGTATGATGCCTCTGAAAATGAAATCAGACCCATACCCTGGGCAGATCTAGACTCCCAGCTCACTCATGGGCCTCATTATTTCTACAGGGCTTTGCCCACAGCCGCCTTCTTTTTGCTTTTTCCTCTTACCGAACTCAACCCTTAGTAACACTGTCTTCTCTCCTTTGTCTCCATTGTTGATTTTTTCCAGCTTATGCTCAAACCTTACTGTCCCATTTATTTGGTCAGCCTTAATGTACTGTAATAACTGGTAGCACTAGGTCACTTCCTTGAGGCAGAGCAATAAATGCTGAAATTGGTTGGTGGCGGGGGGAGGAGTGAGAGAGAGAGAGAGAGAGAGAGACTTTTTGATGGGTTCTCAAATTCCAATTTTATCTTCCTAAATACTATTCTTTGAAGTCACCTCCATTTTTCCCAATTATTCTGAGAAATCTCAGTGCTATTCCCTTGCCTACAACAAAGCTAATACATGGGCAGAAGAGTGGGGTTCCCTGGAGGCCCAGCCTGCAGTGAGGTATCCCATGGCTTAGCTGTCCCTGAGTCCTACTGATGTTCATGCTTTGGAAGAAACTCACCTTGCTGTGGTGTTGGAGCTGCACCCAGCCTTCATAGCCAAACCTCTGCAGTGGGGAGAAGCACAGTTAGAGTCAAAGAGCAAAGACCAGGCTGCAATCAAGGGGCATGCTTAGCACAGAGGATCCTGAGCTCCACCTTTCAAGCATTGCCTTCCCATTTCCCCCATACCCATGTATCGCCTATTTAGTATTTACAATTAAATTCACTTACATTTTTCCTTCAATATATTTACACAAGAAGAAAATTCTGTTATCTCAGCAGTGCTGCTTTTATCTTTTCCCCTAATGCAGCTTAAATTTTTTAAATGAAGATTAACATGAAAAAATATTGTTCATGTACCACCTAAAATCACGTCACAGGTTACAAGGAGTACATCGCCCCTAAGGACCACTCTTTAGGAAATACACTGCTTTTCAAACTCTGCGTTGCAATCCATGAGTAGATTGTGATATCAGTTTAGTGGATAGGGACTCAAACATTTTAAAACAGGAAATCATGTATGTAGCAGATGCTGTTGGTGTCCCGCTCGTATCCCTTCGCTTTGACACTTCTGTGCATACCAGCCCACCTCCATCAGCCAGCGCCTGCATTTCATTGGCTGAGGGCTTTCCCCGGGAACCTGCTTTGATCAAGCCAACCTAGCAGGTAAGAAGTACTATGAAATTAGCTCCCTGCATCCCCTTGGCCCAACAGCCCTTAACAGATAATTGAGGGAGTTGTATATAAATACACTGAACACACCGTACCCCACCCCTCGGTCTGGATAACGCAGAGATGAGGCACACATTTTGCTCTGGAATGCAAACCTTTCACTGGCTGCCCTATTTTCCCTGTCTCACTTCCTCACTCTACTGGTGTTTCCTGGGATCACCTCCAAAGCAAACTACTTGTATCTGAATCCTTGTCTCAGGGTCTGCTTCTTGGAAAACATAGAGTAAAGGAATGGAAAGGAATAGAATAAATTAGAATGTCTCCCATGTAGTAAGTAATGGTTTCATAACATTTTTTCTTCCCATTTAGTGTATATAAATGTTTGTACTGAGTCACAACGTAAAATAGATTTCCGCCTGGGAATCATGCATAAAAACTGTGGAAAGCCACCGACTGAAAACATAGGTAAGTATGACTCAAATAACTACTGGCTTTATCATGTATCATACTGCATCATATCATTATTCCTTCTTCACGCTTTCATGGAATCCCATCTGTGACAAGTCTTACTAGGGAAGAGAAAATAAAAGGGAAGGACAGTTCCAGCCCATGTGGAGCAGAGTCTTGGGAGGTTAAGGCTGGGGGAGGCAAGGAATCAAAGGGCCACATCATGGCATGTGAGACGCACTGTGACCGTGAGGCACAGGTGCTCTGGGGGCCTTGGGGAGGGAGCTGACTTCACACCTTGGGCTGCGGTATTGGGAGGGACATTGAAAAGGTAGTCCTGGAGTCAGATTGGAGAGGATCTTCTAGTGTTCAGGATTTCCACACTTCCTGCATGGCTGTCACAGTGTGGTGTCAGAGGGAAGGAATGGAGGCAGGAGATAGCTACATGAGGGAGCTCCTTAACGACTCTGAGTTGGTCAGCGGTGATGGGTCAGCGAGTAAAGCAAGCTGAACATCAGCTCAACCTCTCGTTTGTTGTGGCGGGATGAGGCCAGGGTACAGCAGTTGATTCTCATGCCGCAGTGCAGGGAAGTTGTCTGTAGGGAGTCAGGTCTTGGTGGACCCTTCTTAGCTCCCTTCACCTCTAGACCGAAGGGAAGGTCTGGGCCTGGGCCACAGTGCAGCATAGAGGTGTTTGTGTCTCTGTGTCTGTGCCTGGGGTCTGCCTCAACAGCTTCGTAAGGTTTGGATTAATTCTATACCAGTCTTATTCCACCCAGGTAAAAGGTCTGTTCTTGAGTCCTAGCCCCAAATAATCATATTACCTTTAGAAATCTATCTTCTGTTTCCTCCCCAGTGACATCCGCAGACTCGGTTTTGGAGGCTGGGCAGGCAAGGGAGACTGTCGGCCGAAACTCAGCTTCTCCTCCCTGCACCCAGCCTCTCCTTTGCTTGTGCCCCCAACCCCTGCTCTCGCCCTTCATGCATTCAATACCTTTGTACTTTTTCCTTCTTTTCCCCTGGAAAAAGCTGCCAAGAGAGATATGTTGGGGGCGGGGGATGGAATATGACCTTAATCAGTTACACTTTAGAGTAAACTTAAGACTGTGCTCTTTAACTGGAAATTTGCCATTGAACTTTTATCCTTCATGTAGAAGAAAGGGTTTTATTTCCTTCTTTCTCTACTGCCTGCTTTCTCCCCCTTCTTCCTCACTCTCTTTCTTTGTTACTTTTTCATAATTCTGTAAGGAACTCTAACCCATATGTTAGCAGGTAGAGAAGTATTCCATTTGGGGAAGGGCAGGGAGGTAGGAAAGGCAGAGCAGAGGGATCCTCCCACATGCAACAAGTCACTTACAAGGCACTTGACTTTGTTGGTGTGAAATGTCTCCAAGTCACTGTTTCCCTATGTGTATTAATAAAAATGAGGCTAACAGGAGTGGCTGGGACATAAGTTTTCAGGGGAATTAGGTGAGATAGTGCGTATAAAGCTGCTGACACCAGGCCTGGCCAGTGGACAGGGCTTCATTCATTCCTGCTAACAGTGATGCTGATGGTGATGGTGGTGACGGTGGGGGCACTAATTGCATGGTGGAGGGAGTGAGGTGGCTGTAGTGGTGTGGCTGAAGTAGTGAATGTGGTGGCAGTGGTGGTACCCATCGTGGCTGATGGTGATGGTGGTGGCAGTGACAGCCGTGGTGATAGTAGCAGTGGGGATGGTGGTCAGGGTGGCAGTAGTGGTGACAGTCTTATTCCAACCCCAAATAGAATACCCTGGGGTCAGAACTAAGGAGAGCCGTGAAGAAAGGAGCCCTTTGCCCCTCTGTGTCCCTCCCTCCCTTTCCTGGAAAGTGTAAAGTGCCAATTTACCTCACAGGCCCCTTGCAAAGACCCAACTTATTCAGGGCAGTTTTATTCTTCTCCAGGTCTGTGCTTGACATAGACCCTCAGTTCTCATCCCAGGTTGAGCCGAGCCTGGGGTCTAAAATTTATGACCCTGGGAGTGGTTTTGGTCCGAGCATATGCCCCAGGAAGCATCTAAAATCTGAAAGTGTTTGACAATAACCAGTGTCTCGTGGGCATTTATGAGCATGCCAAATAAAAAGCAAATTGAAAACATTCCAGGAAATTCAGTTTTATATACAAGAGATATGTTTCTGAAATGCACATATATGAATCAAAGTGGATGAACTGGATGACCATTGTTAATGTCTTGAGGACATCACACCTCCATGAGGTGAATAATGAGCCTCCTGGGTGATGAAACCAGATATTTATCTCCTCAGAAGGATTTTCTAAAAATCAAATGATGTCGAGGATTTTGTCTTCTAAAGCCTTGTGCTGATCAAGTGCAATTGCTAACAAAAGAAGGTGTAAGTATATGATTTTTAAATTGGAGGTCAGAATTTTTTGCTCCATTTATAATTAGAAGAATCTTTGCAAGCCCTACTATTGGGCAGACAGTAGGCTGTCAATAAAGCCTTGCTGGAGGAAAAAGCTGAAACTGTATCATCCTCATTGTTGCTGTGAATAATCCATTGCAGATCAACCTGAAACATCTTTTGCCACGGTTTCTTGGGCCCCACCTCCTGTTTGTGACAGCAGAGAGTATGGGTCCTCATTCATCAGAAACAATTTGATCAAGTATCCCTGAATCCACTGTCTTTATACTTTGGATACATATTTTTTTCAAGGATCCTACTTGTAACTCTGACTAAAATTATTAGCAAGTGAAAATGAAAAGATTTCTCAAATCCCAGCCCTTTGTCATCATTAGTTAACCATCACTTCAGGCATGTTGATTCTACTTTTCTGTCCCTTCATTGTGTAAGAAGGTCAAGGTTATTCCAGCAGCGGTACTCTCTCAGGCCAGTTTTCTCAGGGTGGATGTGGTGATGGAGAGGCTCTTGAGGGACTGTGGTGGCCCACATAGCTCTGGGATTCTAGGTTCATTTCTGAGTCTCAAGCATCTCATCTGTCAAGTGAATAGTATAAATCTTATCTGCATATTTTGCAAGGTTTATGTCAATTATTTCTCCCTCTGTCTCTCCCTAGAAGTACGAAGTATTGTAACTGTAATGATGAAAATGATGTAGATGGTGGTGATGAAGTGTTAGCTGTCTGTTTGCAGCATGTGAGACTACTACATAAGAAGAAATCTGGTTTGGAATGAAAAACCAAACATCGTATGTTCTCACTCGTAAGTGGGAGCTAAGTTATGAGGATGCAAAGGCATAGGAGTGACACGATGGACTTTGGGGACTCAGGGGGAAAGGGTGGGAAGGGAGTGAGGGATAAAAGACTACAAATTGGGTGCAGTGTATACTGCTTGGGTGATGGGTGCACCAAAATCTCACAAATCACCACTAAACAACTTACTCATATAACCATACACCACCTGTTCCCCAATAGCATATGGAAATAAAAATAAATACATAAAAATAAAAAAAGAAGAAGAAACCTGGTTTATTGGGACAAAATTTCTCTCTCTCTTTAAAGCAATAGCTGATGATAGAAAGGAGAGGGAGTTTGGAAGCTGGGGAGTCCAAGATCTGGTGAGAACCGGCTTCCTGGTTCTAAGATGGTGCCTTCTTGCTGTGCCCTCACGTGGTAGAAGGGGTGAACAAGGTTCCTTGGGCTTACTTTATAAGGGCACTAATCCCATTCATGAGGGCTCTGCTGTCATGACCTAATCATCCCCAGAAGGCTGCATTTCCTAATACCATTGCCTTGTAGGCTAGGGTTTCACCTGAATTTTGGGGGAGATGTACATATTCAGACTGTAGCTCTCTAAGCCTCAAAATCCTATCTGCACAAGGAGGTGTATGCCCTGGAGCTTGGAGCCCTGCTTGGAGGGTCGGTCATGCTAGCTAACCCTCTCAGTGGGATAGTACAGGTGGGCATTGTCCTCTAGAGACCACCATGGTGGTTTCCAAAGCATTTCATGTGGATGTTCTTTCATACTCAAATAGAGAAAAAAGCTGTAACAGAGGAATTAGTGCCATTTGCTAGGTATAGATTATGGCTATTTTAAAATACCAAATACTAAAATTTGGATTTTACCAAAACTCTTAGATTAGGGAGTATAATCTATTTCTTCTTGTGTTCACAAATTAATCAATGTGTTCATTGCATCATTCGTCAGGCAAATACTCATAAACGAGGGGTAGAAAGTGGTGGGCACCACATGATGTAAGAAACTGCATGCAGCTTCTAAATAACGCAGATGCACTCTCACAAAGGAACTGGTGCATTCCCTTCATGAAATCATTAACATTGTGAAGCGGTTTACACTTCAGTAAACTCTGATGAGGACAACAGCACTCAGAACAGCATGTTCCTGTGTCAACATGTAGAGTCCTTTTAGGAGGAGCAGGTTGAGTGGTTTAGCTTTTATCCTTAGCTGTATATAGGATAGGCTTTCAAAGATCACTTGTATTTTTCAATATACAGTTTCTACCACCCATCTTACCTAAGATACCAATGGACAAAGAAATACTTAAGATAAACATTCTTCTATGAGACAACTATGAGAAGAAAATACTTTCATCTACCTGCACAATGAACCACATTTAATTCAAGTTTGGGTTAATTCATTTTCCCTTACTTGGGATAAAAAAGATGAAACATTATTGGTGGGGTGAAAGTACTGGCAGAATGCTGAAGATTGGGTAAAACCTGATATTAAGCCTGAACAAGCCTCTAGCCAATTTTACATTTCCTTCATGTTCCTCACCTTCCTCTTTTTGTATTCATTCAAAAGTTCTTAATGACAAAAGGAAATTTCCATCTTTAGAGAAACACAAAGAATACTCTTTTAGTAGATGTCACTGTGCAAAAGTTTCATGTCATTTATTCTGGGGTTTTTTGATGTACCTACTTCCTAGTTCTTCATGACAAAGATTTATAGAATAAAGAACATCAAAAAGTAAAGGTTTCAGGCAGTGTCCTAAAATAGACTAAAAAAAAAATTCACAAAGCTATCTCTTGGTGCTTCTAAAACTTATTTTAAACATTTTGAAAAGGAGATATATTTTAGAAGTCCTTGAAACCGATCACATTCCATTTTTAATAGTCTTTTATTTAAAATTGTAACTTTAAATTCTGTAGTTGGCATGTATCTTCCCAGCAGCTGAATATGTGATTTTAAAAAAGGTAAATCTGCTTTACTTAAATTGTCTGGAAATTTTAAAGAATGGTTCATTTGAGGGGAAAAAGGGATTCTGAGAAAGCGCTTATTTCTTTAATCCAATGTTCTTTCAAAATAAATGTAAAAGTCATTTTTAAAAACTAGGAAATCAGAACTACCAAATAATTTAAGTCCCCCTACCCCCCACCAAAGCAGATAAACTAGACATCTTATTCCATAAAGAAGAGAAAGGCAATGAGAAACCCTGGAGAAGTTGCAGAAATAATTCAGCAAATTAATTACCATTACCTTTTTTAGATCTGGCCATTCTTTTGGTAGAATATGACTATGGATGTCAATTTTCATCTCCACAGGATCAGAGAAGCATGTAAGGAAAGAAGTTTTGATATCAAGAGACTTTTTTGAAAACTGTGGAGTTAATTGATTTACTTAGTCCCTTTACAGCCACCTTCAGGCAGCAGTCAGTAGGCCTGCCCAACCCAGTCTAGGTCCATTAGAACTTCCTTATTAAAGTTCAAAGTTCTGTTTATTTGTTAACCAAGCTTTGGTTAACCAAGCTTTGTCAACCAAGCTTAGGGTCAACACACTTTGGTAGTCAGGACTCTTGGCACAAAACTTTAAAAAAAAACAACAAAAACTGTACTCAACTGTATGAGGTCAAAAGCACAGCAGGATGCTTTGACTTATAGCAGGCCAAAAATTGACTAATTTTTCATTTTAAATATTTTAACTTTTATAAAGCTATACATAGTTAGTAATTAAATAGTTTGTAGTTAAAAACAAAACCATGTAGAGGGCTTTTGCAGAAAAAGGATAGATCCCTGACTCACATTTTCTTACCTTTCCTTGCACGATTCAGAAGCAGCCAGTTTTTTTGCTTTTGCTCTTTTTTCAGTTAGTTACTCCCGTATCTTTAAATAATATTTAGCAGTTGGCTTGTTCATGAAGATTTAGCATCTTGAAAAGTTGTCCAGAAGTTTCGTGTTTACTTTTAAATCACAGAAAGGGTCCACTCTTCATATATGTTTTGTCCTCCAGTGCCTTTGTCTTGGACTCATTCATTCATGCAGTTTTTTCCTTTTTTTGTTTTTTAATTTGAGACGCGGTCTCACTGTATTGCCCAGGCTGATATCGAATTCCTGGGCTCAAGCAATCCACCCACCTTGGCCTCCCAAAGTGCTGGGATTACAGGCAAGAGTCACGGCACCCAGCTTCATTCATGTACTTAACAAACACTTATGGAGAACTGCTATGTGCTGACGATGTAAAGTTGACTGAGAGATAAGATGATACATATCCTATAATAGATAATTGTACACAGCCTAAAGTGTAGGGAAAAGAAGATAGTAGCCATTTCCATTTAGCATTATCAGAGCAGTCAGGGAGGGCTTCCAATACAGCAGAAAGTGGGGCTTATGGTCATGCCTCTAAAGAGAGCCTGGAACAAAACAGCCCTTGATTGTTCTGTGTTTACCCTTTCCTCTTCCTGGACAGCTTAAAATGTTGAAGGGACCCCAGGTCCCCTGGCAAACCCTTAAACATACCTTGGATGTTCCCTTCACTTCAGACTCCACAATACATAAATTGAGTAGTCAAAAAGCTTCCTTCTGTAATTCAGCTAGATTCTGGATAAATTGTAACAGACAGCTTGAAAGAAAATAAAGGAAATCCTTGAAATCCATTTTTTTTTTTTTAAAAGTTCGGGAGCTGCAAGATGGCTGAATAGGAAGAGCTCCAGCCTCCAGCTCCCAGTGTGAGTGACACAGAAGATGGGCGATTTCTGCATTTTCAACTGAGGTACTGGGTTCATCTCACTGGGGTGTGTTGGACAGTTGGTGCTGGTCCACTGGTGCAGCCCGACCAGCAAGAGCTGAAACAGGACTAGGCATCACCTCATCTGGGAAGCGCAAGAGGGAAGGGAATTCCTTTTCCTAGCCAAAGGAAATTGAGACACACAACACCTGGAAAATCAGGTAACTCCCACCCTAATACTGCACTTTACCATGGGCCTTAGCAAACAGCACACAAGGAGATTATATCCCACACCTGGCCCAGAGGGTCCCAAGCCCATGGAGCCTCCCTCATTGCTAGCAGAGCAGCCTGAGATCTAACTGCAAGGTGGCAGCGAGGCTGGGGGAGGGGCACCCGCCATTGCTGAGGCTTAAGTAGGTAAACAAAGCCGCAGGGAAGCTCGAATTGGGTGGAGCCCACCACAGCTCAAGGAGGCCAGCCTGCCTCTATAGACTCCTCCTCTGGGGACAGGGCATAGCTAAACAAAAAGCAGCAGAAACCTCGGCAGAGGTAAATGCCCCTGTCTGATAGCTTTGAAAAGAGCAGTGGATCTCCCAGCAGGGAGGTTAAAATCTGAGAACGGACAGACTGGCTGCTCAAGTGGGTCCCTGACCCTTGAGTAGCCTAACTGGGAGACATCCCCCACTAGGTGCAGACCGACATCTCACACCTCACACGGTGGGGTACACCCCTGAGACAAAGCTTCCAGAGTAAGAATCAGACAGCAACACTTGCTGTTCAGCAATATTCTATCTTCTGCAGCCTCCACTGCTGACACCCAGGCAAACAGGGTCTGGAGTGGACCTCAAGCAAACTCCAACAACCTACAGCTGAGGGTCCTGACTGTTAGAAGGAAAACTAACAAACAGAAAGGACACCCACACCAAAATCCCATCAGTACGTCACCATCATCAAAGACCACAGGCAGATAAAACCACAAAGATGGGGAAAAACCAGGGCAGAAAAGCTGGAAATTCAAAAAATCAGAGTGCATCTCCCCCTCCAAAGGAACGCAGCTCATCAACAGCAATGGAACAAAGCTGAATGGACAATGACTTTGATGAGTTGAGAGAAGAAGGCTTCAGTCGATCAAACTTCTCAGAGCTAAAGGAGGAACTACGTAACCAGCTCAGAGAAACTAAAAACCTTGAAAAAAGAATGGATGAATGGATAACTAGAATAATCAATGCAGAGAAGACCTTAAAAGAACTGATAGAGATGAAAACCATAACACGAGAACTACATGACAAATGCACAAGCTTCAGTAACCAACTCGATCAACTGTAAGAAAGAATATCAGCGATTGAAAATCAAATGAATGAAATGAAGCGAGAAGAGAAGTGTAGAGAAAAAAGAGTAGAAAGAAATGAACAAAGCCTCTAAGAACTATGGGATTATGTGAAAAGACCAAATCTACGTCTGATTGGTGTGCCTGAAAGTGATGGGGAAAATGGAACCAAATTGGAAAACACTCTGCAGGATATCATCCAGGAGAATTTCCCCAACCTAGTAAGACAGGCCAACATTCAAATTCAGGAAATACAGAGAACGTCACAAAGATGCTCCTTGAGAAGAGCAACTCCAAGACACATAATTGTCAGATTCACCAAAGTTGAAATGAAGGAAAAAATGTTAAGCGCAGCCAGAGAGAAAGGTTGGGTTACACACAAAGGGAAGCCTATCAGACTAACAACAGATCTCTCGGCAGAAACTCTCCAAGCCAGAAGAGAGTTGGGGCCAATATTCAACATTCTTAAATAAAAGAGTTTTCAACCCAGAATTTCATATCCAGCCAAACTAAGTTTCATCAGTGAAGGAGAAATAAAATCCTTTACAGACAAGCAAATGCTTAGAGATTTTGTCACCACGAGGCCTGCCCTACAAGAGATCCTGAAGGAAGCACTAAACGTGGAAAGGAACAACAGGTACCAGCCATTGCAAAAACGTGTCAAAATGTAAAGTGCATCGATGCTAGGAAGAAACTGCTTCAACTAGCAAGCAAAATAACCAGCTAATATCATAATGACAGGATCAAGTTCACACATAACAATATTAACTTTAAATGTCAATGGACTAAATGGTCCGATTAAAAGACACAGACTGGCAAATTGGATAAAGAGTCAAGACCTATCAGTTTGCTGTATTCAGGAGACCCATCTCACATGCAGAGACATTCATAGGCTCAAAATAAAGGGATGGAGGAAGATCTACCAAGCAAATGGAAAACAAAAAAAGCAGGGGTTGCAATCCTAGTCTCTGATAAAACAGACTTTAAACCATCAAAGATCAAAAGAGTCAAAGAAGGCCATTACATAATGGTAAAGGAATCAATTCATCAGGAAGAGCTAACTATCCTAAATATATATGCACCCAATACAGGAGCACCCAGATTCATAAAGCAAGTCCTTAGAGACTTACAAAGAGACTTAGACTCCCATACAATAAAAATGGGAGACTTTAACACCTCACTGTCAACATTAGACAGATCAACGAGACAGAAAGTTAACAAGGATATCCAGGAATTGAACTCAACTCTACATCAAGCAGACCTAATAGACATCTACACAACTCTCCACCCTAAATCAACAGAATATACATTCTTCTCAGCACCACATCGCACTTATTCCAAAATTGACCACGTTGTTGGAAGTAAAGCACTCTCAGCAAATGTAAAAGAACAGAAATTATAACAAACTGTCTCTCAGACCACAGTGCAATCAAACTAGAACACAGGACTAAGAAACTCAATCAAAACCGCTCAAGTACATGGAAACTGAACAACCTGCTCCTGAATGACTACTGGGTACATAATGAAATGAAAGCAGAAATAAAGATGTTCTTTGAAACCAATGAGAACAAAGATACAACATACCAGAATCTCTGGGACACATTTAAAGCAGTGTTTAGAGGGAAATTTATAGCACTAAATGCCCACAAGAGAAAGCAGGAAAGATCTAAAATGGACACCCTAACATCACAATTAAAAGAACTAGAGAAGCAAGAGCAAACACATTTAAAAGCTAGCAGAAGGAAAGAAATAACTAAGATCAGAGCAGAACTGAAGAAGATAGAGACACAAAAAGCCCTCCAAAAAATCAATGAATCCAGGAGCTGGTTTTTTGAAAAGATCAACAAAATTGATAGACTGCTAGCAAGACAAATAAAGAAGAAAAGAGAGAAGAATCAAATAGACTCAATAAAAAATGATAAAGGGAATATCACCACCAACCCCACAGAAATACAAACTACCATCAGAGAATACTATAAACAGCTCAACACAAATAAAGTAGGAAACCTAGAAGAAATGGATAATTTCCTGGATGCTTACAATCCCCCAAGACTAAACCAGGAAGAAATTGAATCCCTGAATAGACCAATAGTAGGCTCTGAAATTAAGGCAATAATTAACAGCCTACCAACCAAAAAAAGTCCAGGACCACACAGATTCAGAGCCGAATTCTACCAGACGTACAAGGAGGAGTTGGTACCATTCCTTCTGAAACTATTCCAATCAATAGAAAAAGAGGGAATCCCCCCTAACTCATTTTACAAGGCCAACATCATCCTGATACCAAAGCCTGACAGAGATACAACAAAAAAAAGAGAATTTTAGACCAATATCCCTGATGAACATCGATGCAAAAATCCTCAATAAAATACTGGCAAACCAAATTCAGCAGCACAT